TAGGCAAAGTATATGTACCCAAGTCTGGCAACCTTGGATCTCCAATTCTCAAACACCATCCTTTGACAAATCACTTTTATCCATCTAATGTTAATGAGAATGTGCACCCCATGGGACTCTCATGGAAGCCCCCTTCTTTTCCTTTTCCCTTCTTCCAACCTAAATCCTGCCTCCCACTTTGTTTTGTGATTCTCTGACTGGCTATTGAACATAGCATCACCACTATGTATGAACTTTTTGTTATGTATTTTCTCTCAAAACATTTAAGCTAGTCACACTAGCAATTTTAGACCGGAGAAAACTGCTGCGGCAAGAATCTTCTGACTTTTATAAATATCTGCGGCTGCCGGTAACCCGTCATTATAATGAATTGGACCAGCGGCAGCACCTAGCCTCTTCCAGCTGCAGCAGGAATCAGAAGATTCACACCAGTCTAAAACACTAGTGTGAATGTAGCCTAAATTATGTTTTCTAAGAATTCATTTTATTTTCTCATCAATGCCTCCTCTCTAAATCCTGTGTTCTTTTTGTGACTTTAAACTGAAATGTCCGCTAGACAGCTTAGTTTTTATATTTCAGATATGACATATTCTATAAGATATCTTTAATAAGAGAAGACTCATCTAATAACCTCAGAAGACATATTCCAAAAGACATCAAAGGGTAATTCTCTAGTGTAACAAATACTGTGAACTACTTTAATAACCTATGAATATATTTCTAGCGGCTATTTTTTTTATCCCTCAAGCTTTTAAAGTTCAGTTGTGCCATTTAATATCATTGCTTCCGGTGGTACATTCCCCCCAAGTGTTTGAAGTAGCCTTTGAGATCCGAATAAAGAATTTTTCAGAGCATTTCATTTCACTCAGTCAACGTTTTTTCATTATTGAAGATAAAAAGGTTTTTTAAAAATGTATGTGTTAATCATTCCTATTAGAGTTGATGCTTATACCACATGCTGTTCATTTTGAACTAGGAGTTACTATTTCCATGTACTAAATCTTAAAGATTATAGAAATGCAATATTAATTTAATATACTCATTTCATCTGTCATTCAAACTAGAACAGCATATAACATCTTGGCTTGCTGTTGCACAGGAGATTACTTTATGTTTAAATTGTAGTTTCAATACATTATTTGTATGTGTCAGGGCAGCACAGTGGCTAAATGGTTAGCACTTCTGCCTGGCAGTACTAGGGTCGTTGGTTTGAATCCCAGCCACAGCACCACCTGCCTGGAGTTTGCATGTTCTCTCTGTGCCTGCGTGGGTTTCCTCCGGGTACTCTGATTTCATCCCACACTCCACAGACATGCTGGTAGGTTAATTGGATCCTGTCTAAACTGGCCCTAGTATGTGTATGTATGAATGTAAATTAGGGACCTTAGATTGTAAGCCCCTTGAGGGTTAGGGACTGATGTGAATGTACAATATATATGTAAAGTGCTGCATATATATGACGGCGCTATATAAGTACCTGAAATAAATATGTGTAAAATGACTTTAAATGAATGTGCATGCTCTTGTTATCTACTTACACCAGTTGTACTATGTGGTTCCATAGCATAATATTTTTTACAGAATTTATATAGCACCAGCAGTTTGCACAGTGCTTTACAAAATTAAGGGATTCAATTCAATACAAGAGGCTTAGGAGGGCCCTGCTTGTGAGAGTTTACAATAGAATAGGGTGTAAGGGACACTAACTGCAGGCATCCAGCAGCAGGGATGACCAGATCAGTGGGCTACAAGAAGAAGAGGAATAAAAAAAAAACCTCTCTGGCAATACACACCAAACTGAGCATGTGCAGAGTGACTCCCCACGATATTACTTATTGGGAGATAAGGGGGGGGGGGGGACACTGGAAGAAGGGGAGGATCAGAGAAGTCAGGAATAAACAGCATTTTTACACAATGCAAGGGATTAATGCCTTAGGTTCCACAGTGAGTATAACAAGCATGCTTTACTGCATATACAGACTGATTTTAATGTTGTGGGTTTAGTAACACTTTAAGTGTAGCATTTATTAAAACATTTTTTTAAATAATAAACAATTAACCTCCCTAGCGGTATGATTATTTCAGATTTTTGGTGCTGAAAGCAGTACCATTATTTTGCATGGAAATAAGTAGTTTTTTTTATTGTAGGCCTGTAATTTTTAGGAATAACTCACTGAAATCTGTCCGAACAAGAGTCTAGTAAACATCCCGGGTATGATAAAATTTGAAACACGAAATCATAAATTATAATTTAATAATCATAAAAAATAATAATATAATAATAATACATTTAATTCAATAATATAATCAAACCGAAAACACTGAAATTTGAAATATAGCGCCAAGTTCGCACATTCACTGAGCAAAGTCGCAGAATCGTTTTCAGTGTCTGATGATGAACTTCTCCACGAATCATTATCACTCAATTCTGCAAGTGGTTCTGATTTACTGTCGTTGTTCTCTAGCTGATCTAAACCCGCTATTGACCTAAAGGGACACTTTTTGGACGCCATGGACGTTTCTCAGTTTCCAGGCAGAAAGAACAGACAAAACGCACGCAGGGCACAGGACAAAGCACTAGGGACAATATGTATGTGAAATGGGTTGAAACAGCAATGTTTTACTATGAAAAAAATTACTTTTTTTAAAATTTTCAAATTTCCCGCCGCCGGCGACGCCCGTACGTCCTGACGTCACAGGGACCGGAACACAGAAGCCGGATGCCGGCATCGGCCGGAGGAGATGGCCGTGGATGCTGCAGGGGACACATCGCGGGAGCAAAAGACAAGGTAAGTGCTGCAGGGACTCCCTATGCAGCGCCGCATAGTAAGCCCGAGTGTAGCTCGGGGTTACCGCTTTTGGCAATGACATTTTACCCCGAGCTACACTCGGGAATACCGCTAGGGAGGTTAATATGCACTCACATGTACAAGGTATTAACCACTTGATCTTCGGAAGGCTTTACCCCCTTCAGGACCAGGGCATTTTTTTTTGTTATTTAGCACTATGCTACTTTAACTGGCAATTGCGCAGTCATGCAACATTGAACCCAAATGAAATTTATATAATTTTTCTTTCTTTTAGCTTATTTGATCACCACTACAATGTACAGTATTATCACTGATCACTGTATTAGCCTCATTAGCAAGTCAGTGTTCCTCCCAGACATTGTCAATTAGCCCCAGTTTGTATGCCACACTATCACAGTCCCACTATAAGTTGCTCATCACTGCCAGTATAGCGGCTATAGCTGTATATATACAGCGTAGTTTGCAGATGTTATAACTTCCACACAAACCAATTAATTGACACTTTTTTTTTTTTTTACCAAAGACATAGAGCATCATACATTCTGGTCTAAATTTATGGAGAAATGTGATGTTATTCAATATGTTTTATAACAGAGAATACAAATATATATATTTTTTGTATGTTTTCATGTAATAAAAAACCCAGTGGTAATAAAATATCACCAAAGGAAAGCTCTATTTGTGTGAAAAAGATTATATATATTTTCATTTGGGTACAGTGTTGCATGAATGTGCAATTACCAGTTAAAGTAGCACAGTGCTGAATAGCAAATATTGTCCTGGTCATAAAGGGGATAAAAGTTCCAGAGTGATTAAAAACAACTTGGGGACTTATTTCCCTGCATTTCTTCCATGCACACAGCAGTCCACTAGGCTTTTGTACCTGCAATGTGCACATGCAAATGTACCTAGGCATACATGAACCTAGGCTAAAATGCTCCAGCTGATAGTCACACTCTGACGTCATTCCATACAGAACAGGATCAATAGTTTTGCATTATGTGTGAGGAACATATATTCTGCTACATGTGTAAAAAAAAAAAAAAAAAAAAAAGGCAATTAATATATTAATCACTATACACTGAGCTCCTCCCAGTACACCCAGCTCATCACTAGAACTCAGCTCCTCCCAGTACACCCAGCTCATCACTATACACTCAGATCCTCCCAGTACATTCAGCTCATCCCTATACACCCAGCTCATCACTATACACTCAGCTTCTCCCCGTACACCCAGCTCATCACTATACACAGAGTTCCTCCCCGTACACCCAGCACATCACTATACACGCAGCTCCTCCCAGTACACCCAGCTCATCACTCTATACTCAGCTCCTCCCCGTACACCTAGCTCATCACTATACACTCAGCTCCTCCCCGTACACCCAGCTCATCACTATACACTCAGCTCCTCCCCGTACACCTAGCTCATCACTATACACTCAGCTCCTCCCTTTACACCCACCACATCACTATACACAGAGCTCCTCCCCGTACACACAGCTCATCACTATACACTCAGCTCCTTCCCGTACACCCAGCTCATCACTATACAATGAGCTCCTCCCCGTACTCAGCTCCTCCCTATACACACAGCACATCACTGTACACACAGCTCCTCCCCGTACACAAAGCTCCACCCCCCACACTCCTCGCCCATCCCACCCCGGCGCCTTTTCCCCGCGTTGACATTGGCTGACACACCCCTCTACACACAGCTCCTCCCCCTCACATCCATCCCGGCGCCTTTTCCCCGCTCTGTTCTGTTTGTTTATAGGACAACCTCTTTGGGCCCCGCCCACTCCCCGGAATATACCATGTCTACACCAGGGGAGATTTAACCAACGTGACATGGAAGTAGCATCCTTCACGACATTTTTGTGAGATAAGCTGACTCCTCAGCATCCACAGAGCAGTCAGGGTCCTTCTTCTATAGCGCTGAGGCCTCAATCCGCCCTACGTTGCCCTTTATACGGACATCAGCCCCCTTCTAGACGTCCGCCTCCCCCCGCCCCGGGATGGTAGGTGCCGCGGCGCGCTCTCCGCATCTTGGTGACCGTGTGGAGCCGGGCCTGACCCCTCATTGATTCCCGCCGGAAAGTGTCCTCCGAGGGGATGTGTCAGTGAGCGGAGCCCGGCGGCGCAGAGACCTCCGAGCGGCCCGTCACCTCACCGGCTGCCGTCGCCGCCATGGCGGACAGCGAGATGAAAGTTCCGGAGGACATGTTCAAAGATGTGAAGTTCTACCTGGTGGGGGAGCTGGACCCTCAGGTGAGACGGAAGAGGGGACAGCTGTGGCGGGGGAAGCCTGGTCTGTAGGCCCGGATAGTCCCCAGCTCCAGCAGTGTGCGGCCCTCCCGCTCTCCGGGGTGGACAAGTCTCCGGCCTGTGCTGTGTGGGTCGTGCTGGGATTTGTAGTTCCCCGGGGGGCCGCCAGAGGACAGAACGTGCTCAGCGCTCCGAGGAGATGAGGGGCTCCCACTGCCAAATAGTGAGCTAGGGGCAGCCCGAGCCGGATGGCGCAGAGAGAGCACTTCCTGCCAAATAGTGAGCCTGTCATGGGGAGTTGGGGATCACCAACATTGAGTGCCCTGACTACAACCTACCTACCCCCCCACCCTGAGATCTGTGTACAGGGAGGCCTCACATCCTGTCTGATCCTCATACAAGGATGGCAGAGGAGCTCACCATCTAATGTCACCGCTGACATGCCTACAATGCAGTGTGCAGGGCACAGGTGGTTGGTGTTGATTTGGCGTTCTGTCGGTGACATCATTCAGAATCGTGTGCCGCTGACCTCCATCTGACTGGCTTGAAGGGCCTGGGATGCTGTGCAAGAAAGGCGACTTCAAGGGCAGTGCCCTTGCCAGACGCACGCGGGTGCCAATTCATTGTCAATGGAGCTACAAACGCATCTCACAGCCGCCAGACCACATGGTACCTCAGTACCATGCGATTTTGGTGCGACACGATCTGAAAAAGTAGTGCTACTTTTCTGTCTTCATTTCGCTTACATTTGGCAGCCCATTGAAATGAAGGAGTTGTCAAAAACAGACCAGCATGGCAACTTGTGCACGGCGGTCTGAGCCGGCTTCAAGCTTGTTTACACCGGATGCGATTGCAGGTTTTTTTTTTTTTTTTTTTTTAGGGCAAGGAAAATGAATGTGTGTAAAAAAAATAACAAACAAAAACTCTCTGCTCACTTGCCAGCCTGCAACACGCCGATATATCCTGTCTAACAGTTCACGTTAAAACCAAGGGGTTTCGTTTGCACACATTTGCAAATACATGCGTAAGCTGCAGAGCCACTTCATGGCACCCCCCAGTATATCTGCAGTCCTAACTATAAATTCTGAGTCTTCAAAGTGGGAGCACATATATAATAATGGACAGATTGAGAGTAGGTATGTCTGAAGGGAGCCCACCCTTCCTTGCATCCCTATACTTTTAAGGAGGGGTGGGCTCCCTTCAGGCATACCTGCCCTTGATCTATCCATTCTTCTATATGTTCTCCAACTTTGAATACTCCTGCGATCCTAGTTTACACCATTGCAGTGCTTTCATGTGCATTTAAAAAAAATACAGATTTTTTTTTTTTTACACTGGTACACACTGAAACATGCATGAATATGTGCAAACCAGTGTAAATAAAACTTTGTAAAGAAAACAATTTTTCTAAAAACACACTGTAAACACTGAAAATGCACTGAAAACACGTACATGCAGAGATGCCCAGTAAACATTGATTGTGGTGTGAGCCCCTGTTCACACCAATGTGATTTGACAGCTCAGAATTGCATGACAGGTTGCACTCTATTTGTACCTATGGAACCATTCAAATAGTACGACTCCAACCACTTTTGAAAAAGGTTCCTGTACTGTTTTTGGTGTTTTGCATTGACATCTGTGCATGAAGTCGCACTGACCGGCAGCTTTGAAATCGCTGTACGCCAGCTGATTTCAAAGCCGCATTTGTTGTGAACCATACATAAGTGTCCCCTTAAAGCGGAACTTTACCTATCACTTAAAATAAAGATATAAATGTTTAGAAAGAAACCTATATTCCACATTAATAATTATGCTACCGAAATTTGTGTGCTGTAAATTGCCTCCAGCATTGTTCCTGTACTTTCTTGCTGGAGGCTGCCATTTTTCTGAAGCCCAGAGTTTTGAGCAGCATTAAATGTTTAGGTTGTCAGCAGATCCACCTACAGTAGCTCTGATTTTCAGCACAGTGTCTGAAAATAGAGAACAATTGAGCATGTCCAGAGCAGGGTGAGACAGTGTATTCATGGATTTCTAAACAGTAAGTCACTTATGCTTCTCTTTAAAAGGGGCCAACATGAAGTGTTCTAGCGGGACTTAATTTTCTCATTAAAGTTCCACTTTAAAGTAGAACTAAAAGCAGTTTTTTTTTTGGATAGAGTAAGGGGGAGTTAGAACTCCTCCGTCTGTTTGCCATCTGTATCCCATTAAGATTTCACTCCACTTCTTGTCCCATAGCCAAAACAGGAAGTAAGAGGAAACCCCACCAAAGTGAGGGGATCCTGGGATGCCATCAGAACTTGTCTCCACTAGATGATTCTACTCCTGTCCAGTGTCAACTCAAAGTTGGGATTTACATTCACTGTTGGTGATAACAGTAAACAGGATAAATAGGGCGAGTCTCCCTAATAGGGACACAGGCAGAAACACTGATAGGTGTTAATCCCTCTCCACTCTGTCCAAAAAAAAACCCCCCAAAAAACTTTGCTTTTAGTTCTACATTGAACTCCAACTCTGGGAAAACTAAGGCAGCCCATACATTATGCATTCATTTTTTGTTCAACCATCAGGTTGATGTAAAGAAAATGGCTCAATTTTCCCCATCCACACATTTGATATGAATGGGGTAATCCCTCTTGCTATAGTATTGTATTCTGACAGTGGGGAGACCTCCATGTCATCAGAATACAATGATCAGCATCGCCAGCTTTAGCTGGCGGCTCTTACGGTTTGTGAAAAGGTTGTACACAAGTCGGTCCCCTTTCTCCCCCACTTACCTTTGAAACTTTGTTTTGGAGTCTCCTACGCCAGGTCCTGCACCATGCCACCATCTTCCTTTTTACATTATGGAGAGCCAGCTGTTCTGCTTCTTCCAGATTCTTGCAGCCAATGATTCAGCAGATCTTGCACATATGCAGACAGAGTTCCAGCGCCATGTCTGTTTACACACAATTCTATGTATAAAGGAAATTAATTCCTCCTGGAATGCTGATATCACACAGTGCAGGAGGCAGTATTTTTCTTCATTCACAGAATAGTATGTAACTGAACACCATGCTAGATCTCTGCGCATGAACGAGATCTGTCCCAACTTCTGTTTACTTAAATGGAAAACCATGCTTCTTGGGATAAGCTGACATTGGTATCACAGGAGGCTGCAGAGGGACAACCTCACCTAGGTGTGATGGAGGGAGGGAGGCCGGGGTCTTCAGAGAAAAAAAAAAAGTCAACTCTTAAAAAAAAAAAAAAGTGGAGTGGATTAGGATGCTGAAAAGTTTTATTTTTAAGTGAAGTTCTGCTTTAATTTCCTATTGGTGGCTGAATACATAAGCATTCTTGTTGATAGCAGAACCATCCCTGTCTGTTGTCATTGCTAAAATACTTGTATTGTCCAACTGTCGTCTTATCCACAGCAATAGGACTAATTGTAGTAGTCTAAGATAAGAACTAGGAGGTCTAAAGTGATTCCTGAAATAGCACAGGACAGCACTGTATTTTTGGCATGATCAACAGGTATGTTTCTATATGTGTATAACAAAATGCTTCCAATATTTTATTTAACAGAACAAAAAGGAGCAAAATATGAAAAGTTTGTCAGGGTTTATATGCACTTTAACCGCTTCCCCCTGCCCTATAGCAGATATACTGCTACAGGGCGGTAGTGGTGCACAAAATCACGTGCGTTTATATATATACGTGAGTTTGCATTTCCGGGTAGGGAGCGCACGTGCCGCCAACCACGGCAGTCAGTCACCGAGTCCCGCCCGGTGATTACCAAGCATCTCTGATGGGTAGGAAGACTGTTTTATTTACTAACAGTTTTCCTCCCTGTTGACTCAGGCACACTGCTCTGGATGGCTTTGCACAGGACAGCCATCCAGAGCAGTGTCCTTACAGTGAAGCACAAACCCCCGTCCCCTAGTAAAACACTCCCTACAAATAGTTTACCCTTTGATCGCTCCTTATATTAACCCCTTCCTGCCCAGTGCCATTAGTACAGTGTCAGGGCTTTTTTTTTTTTTTTTTGTAGCACACTGACCACTGTATTGGTGTCACTGGGGATGTCAGTGACACCAATTCAGTTCCCCCCAGTGTCAGAAGGTCTGCCACAGCCCCACTAAGTCGCTGATCACTGCCATTACTAGTAGAAAAAAAAATCGCAGTATCTTTCCCGCCATTTGTAAACGCTTTGTCACGTAAACCAATTAATTTACACATATTGGGATTTTTTTTTTTAGCAAAGACATGTTGAATAATATATTTTGGCATAAATTTATGATGAAATTTGATTTTTTTTAAATTTTTTACAGGACACGTTTAATAGTAAAAATTAAAAAATATATACTTTTTTTTTTTTCTCAAAATTCTTTTTTTTATAGCTCAAAAAATAAAAACCGCACACAGGCGATCAAATACCGCCAAAAGAAAGCTCAATTCAAAAAAAGGATGTAAATTTTATTTGGGTGCAGCATTGCATGACTGCACAATTGTCAAAGTAACGCAGCGCCAAAACGCAAAAAATGGCCTGGTCAGGAAGGGGGGTAAATCCTCAGGAGGGTAAGTGGTTAAAGTAAATTCGCACTGTCCTGAACAGTTGACAAACAGGTTACCCACATGGGGACAGAGATAAAGGCAAAGGACCGTCTCGACTTTCTTAAATAGGTTAGAATAAGCCTCTTCTTTCTATGCTTTCCCTTTGGCCAGAAAGGACATTGATCACATTACAGGGCCAATGGGGACAAGCTTGGCTTTTCCAGGGTATGATGGGACTGCTGAGATTTTCTCTGTTCACCCACATTCGGTTCAGTAATATGCATTACCACAACACAGTTTAGGAAATGCACATATGCATGTTCTGTAGTGCAACATAAACTGGCACCCCAAGACTCATACACAAAAATTCATCTGTGCTATACCCCACTGCATAGATGTGAACTACATTATATTGCCAAAAGTATTGGGACATTTGCCTTTACACACACATGAACTTTAATGGCATCCCAGTT